GAGCCCCACTCCCCACACCACCACTAGTGGTGTATAATGGCTCCAGAGGTGAAAACCCACCCTGATTACAGGTGTAACCCTCACAGGCGCACACAGAAGCAGGTACACACACAATATGACAGCCTTTGTTCCGCAAAGCCCCTCAGGTTTAGCCACCAGGCACTATTTGTCTCACACAACCACTGGGCTGTACCCTGTGGCAGGGCAGCCCTCAGCCCAGCAGGCACCATGTTGTCCCCGCTCCTCACCCACAGCCCTGTCATGGAGCCTCACCAACCCAAGGCGTCTTACAAAGGTTATGTTGCAGAGGCAAAATTAATTGCTACCATGGAAACGAGTGAAGAATGAGCAAAATGATTACAACTGGAATACCTATTTAAGTTAGTTATTCACACTGAACTTTTAGTCCCTTCCTCTCCAAAATCAGATTTGTCTGAAACACCGAATACTCATCCTTCCTGTGAAAAAGAGACAGTTAAGGACTTCTGGCAATTTACATTTATTAGAAGTCTCTATTTTTGTCTTCATCTAGTCACATAGCTTGGATCATCCACATATCTTCTGACTAAAACCCTGAAAACACAATGTCCAAGACTTCGGGAACACTTTGTATTTGACTAGAGCCAAGTGGAACGCATTACTAGATTACACATATGATCTTCGTTATCTGGGATATTTAGCATTTGGCACTGGCCACTGGAAGATAACATGCCAGAGTCATCTACTGTGCACTGGAAGAAGAAAGAGCAGCCTCTCCATGAGTAGCACGACCCTACTTTTACCTACAGACCAGAAAAAAACACCTCAGATTTCGCAAATCCCCAGCCTACACTTTGAACTTCTTTGACTGTAAAACACGAATAATAAAATTGGGGAGGGCTGGCTTTTTAGGTATTTCTTTTTCAGGTTCTGTAAAGGTTTGTTCATAAAACCTTTTAAAAATGATATCTAATTTTATTTTAAAACCAGTCTTGCTTCCAGCTTACACCAAAATAATATCATAAAGATGCTTAACTGTGTTATAAAGAACAGTTTCATTGCTGATATTTTAATGTCTTTAGCATGCAGCGGCACATATCTATAAATGGTTATGAAGACTCAGATATGTAAATTATATTATTAAGGCATGTAAATAATTATATTATTAAGCATGTAAAAATATCACTTTGGAAGATCTTGTGAGGCACGCGTTAGCAAAAAGGAAGCTGCTAGCGACAGCAACACAGAATTTGGCTGTCCCTGTCACGTATCCTCCACGTGAACAGAGGTCTGCCAACACAGAGCAGAAACTTAGTAGCTTGGGCTGTCACATGTGAAAACTGTTTTGAGGGACAGCGGAACAAAGCCTGCAAATTTGGTTTGAAACAGGTCTTTATTATTAATGTCAATTATTTTGAGAAGACCAGACCTAACGCTTAAAAATCAAGGCCTCACACATTTCTGTTTCAAACCCATAATTTGTGTTGCACTGAAATATATCATTAAGTTGTGCAGTTTGCATTAAAGGACACCAAGAAAAAAGGAAAATTAAGAGGAAAATTACAACTGTGCAACAGGTCTAGGGCCAAATACAACTAACCCAAATCCTTTACTGATTTCATACATATTAATGGCATTAAAAATCAAACTTTTTTTCTGCATCTGAGTATCAGCCAAGAAAAATATCAAAAGCTTACTTTTTTGGTGTATTTCTGGAATAACTTTGTTCAAAGTGCTTCCAAAGAAGACATGGGATGATGTGAAACAGTCTTTGCATGCCTATTCATCACTACTTTGTGAGGAAAGATAAACTGTACAAAAAAAGGAGCAAAACCAGGAGGCAATGAGTAGTCTGCATATTTTCATCTGTTGGTTGTAAGGGCCTGAATTCCAGTACAATATCTATACTATTTACTATTTATTTACAGTTACAATTGAGTGAGATGGGGATTGCATGGTTGCTCATCTGTACATGACCATGTTGTTCAAAGTCATCTCAAAATTCCTCCACAAGCCAAGTTATCATGTAACTCTTTTATATGGCTGATGTAGCAAGGCAAGATCTGTAAAGAAGGTCTAACTTTCATTAAACCAAATGGTATAGCAGGGGAAAAAGAAGACAAGCTTCTAAGCACACAAGACTTTCCAATTAGCTTCTCTTTCAGGAGTGAAGAGCGCAATTGGAACAAAAGTGTCTGCTTTTTCCAGCTAGATCTTCTTGTCTCACCTGCATCCTCCCGCTGTCACAGCTACAGCAATACTACCATTAAAAAACCTCAATCCTCCGAATGCTGAAATAGCCATCTCCAGATGTCACAATGGTTTCTTTGAAAACCATTAATAAACTTTAAACTGCCCAAAGGTAGGTCTCAAATGGCTGCCACCACATTTTATGAAAATGCCCTGTATATAATCCAAGGGCACCTGACATATAAAATGGTATAAAAATACAAGCTGACTTGTGCTTCTAAGTATTTCCTGCCCTTTTAAACTTTGCACTTGTTCATTAATTTCAACAAATGTTGAGGTGAGCCAGCTGCTGAGGTGAGAGGATTCATATAAATCCCTCACAGATGTTTGCTAACTTCAGATAGGAGCTTTATTATCTACAAGTCATTAATCAACCATTAACAAGTAAGTGTTATGGAGTCCCGCTATTAAGGTTCACTGCCAGAGGAGAATAATGGATTTTGCAGGCTGGCTGTGTCTACAAGAAAGGGAACTAAGAGCTGAGACAGTTCTGAGATAAAACATTTGGAGGAGATTAGAAAACAAGGGAAGTCATTTTGTTGCTCTCTAGCTTGCCTTAAGAGAAAGCACTTCACAGGAGTTAAGCATTTACACAACAAACTGAGGAGAAAGTTCAAGCTCATCCATCAGTTTCGTGATGAAGAGGAATGTGTTTTGCACAGCCAAACAAGGAAGTCAGGCATAGGTGAGAATTATTGCTCCTGCGAACAATAATAAACACTACATCATCCAAAGTGTTAGTCTCTCACTGATAGACTTCAAAGCCACAAAATCACCTGCTCTGGCCTCCAGGGTCCTCAGACTTCACCAGACACCTCTCACTAAGGTCACAGACTTCAGTTCAAAACAACAGCAGCAGCTAAACCATGGCATGCCACAGGCAGAGGACAGGCAGGGCTGAGGCAAAATCCAACAACAAATTCCAGCTCTGGAAGTGGTAGGGTCTGTCGGGCAAAGCGTTGCCCTTCCTGCAGAACAAGGCAACATTTCCCACTCTTCAGTCCTCTACACCACAAAGTTTCTGCGAACTAGTCTTACAGAAAAAGAAAAAAAAAATCCTTCTGCACACCAGATCTGGAAAGAATTTTGACCTGGACTATATAAGGAAGACATAGTTACACTTATGAAACAGTGTAAAATTCTTAGGTGCAAATTTACATGCTGAGTATTATCTCACTTAGAGGCTCTCCAGCTATGGCCAATTTCTGATACTCATGAGCCAGGAAATAAAACAACAACAAAAAAAAAGCAAAATTGAAGAGAAATGATTATGTCTGAACCCCAGCAGGCAAATGACGAAGTTCTGAAACATGAATTCTGAATATAGTTAATTTTCTTTTAGTAGTGCGACTGTCTTGAAGGGAATGTCCTCCTTTCAAGAGTGCATTAACAGCTTGAAGGGAAGACATTTGCTCCATCTCTGGAGGTGTTCAAGGCCAGGCTGGATGGGGCTTTGAGCAATGTCATCTGGTGGGAGGTGTCCCTGCCCATGGCAGAGGGTTGGAACGAGGTGGTCTTTAAGATCCCTTCCACCCCAAACCATTCTGTGATTCCGTGACTCCCTGTGCAGACACAGGTGTATAAATGGCAGGAAACCCTGAAATCAGAGGGCTGAGGGATCCAATCTCTCGTCCTCTGTACCCTTCAGGTATTGCTGTCCCCCACAGCAAGAGTCCATCTCTAATTTCAGAACCTCAGTTTTGTGATCTATGCCCCAAGGGTGGTATCACAACTACGCACACTACAAATACAGTGAAGAAACAGTACTAAATGGAAGATAAATATGATAGTACAGACAATCAAAGCATTTTAATGTTCCCATGAAGGGGTTACAAAATACCTATTCGACTTATTTTAAAGACTTGGAAACAAAGTCGGAGAGAGGCCACAGAAGAAATTTTACAGCCAGAACCAGAACACATGTTGCTGGCTCTCGGTCCAATGCTCAGGCCACTAGACTACACAAAAAGGTGCAAACGCCTTTAGGAATTCATTTCTAAGTTTTCTCTTTCATGTCATAGCCAGTAAAAAGACCTGCAAGTAGTTTCAACTCATTTTCCTTCCCTATTTTGCAACTCTGATGTTTTCACAGAATACTTTCACAGGTTTCTGAAATACTGTGGAATTCTGTGTGATGACAAATATGAAACCAGGTATTGGTTAGATCAAACACAGAAAACTTTCCAAAGCTCACATACTGACTACTTAACACACCACAGTGTAGGAAAAAATATTCCTTACAAAGCCATACTTTAATTTCCCTCAATAATGTTTCTTAGTAAAGAGCTCTACACAGCTGGAAGCATTAACAGCCTACCAGATGGTTCGCTTCTCGATAAACACTTATGTTTTCTAAGTTTAAAGTCTAATGAACTGTAGGTGCAGGAAGATAAAATTACGTATGCAGAGTGGTCCAAATGGCAGGTCAGGAGGTAGAGATGGACAGTGGAAGAGCTCCACAGAAGCTCCCATTTCTGTGGTCGCTTTACACTGGGGTGGCAAGGGAGGAGAAAAGGCTGATCCTGGCAGGAGACATGACTTGCACACACGCACACACACAGTCCTAGAAGCTCTTATGGGAGGATGAGAGTAGGTGGTGACCACCAGACCCTGGCCCACAGCATTGCCCTAAACCAGCCTGGGCTTCCACAGCCCTGGAGAGACGGTATCATGCAGCAGATCCATGGCAGGAACCAAGCTCAAATTAAATGGTACGATCCCACAATAACCGAGATATGCCTAGTACTGCGTGTACAGCCAGCAAAACTCACCTTGAGACGGATCTCGATCTGTTAAGAGCTTTGACAAAGATCAAAGATGGTGCAGACTGGCGCCTTTGGGCCAAGCTCTTCATTTTCTGTTTGGAAAGAGAAACAAAATGAAATCATAGGTGAGATTGGGAACCATTAGTGCATGCATATGGACTTGTTGCAAACAGACTCCAATTTCAGGCCATGGGAAAATAAAAGATAAGTTACTGCCATCAGAAGCCCTGGGAGAAGAAAATGATCGCAAAATATCACAGATTGAGAAAAATGGGAGCATGGCCAGGAAGCCCATGATACAGAAAAGTTGATCATTAGTGTCCATACAGAGATGCCTGAGGTCTTGCATACATGAAATAAACATCTACAGCATTTCCTAAAACACTTTTTGACCCTTAAGAATCTATTGTACTTTAAGTGTATCAGGAATCTGGATGGTGATTCAACTTTCAAATGCTTGATACATTTCTGTGCCTGGTCTGACATATATCATAAATTAGGGTCTGAATTCTACCCCCCTAAGACTACCTGCTACACAAGGCTAAAAGGTTTTTCCAAACCTTTAGAACTCTAAAGAGGTATGAACAGTTTTCTTCCCTATTAATCTAACTGGAACATTACCTCTTGTCTCTCGGTAGTCATTAATGACATTTTTTTCATTCCTGATCACGTATGGGCCAAAATAGGGAAGTGAGAGGCAGGGCAGCTCTCAGAAGGCACAGAAAAACTAGGAGGGAATAGGCAAAAGGGAACACTCAAAGACAGGGAATGCAGCAGGAAATAAATAAATAAATAAATAAAAATAAAACAAAGCACAGGTAGGAGATGAAAATATCAGTAGCTATCAAGGGAGTACGGATTCCCATTGCGTGAAGTTGAATACCACAATAAAAATACCGAGCAAATAAACAACGCTGTTTTCTCCAGAGGCAGAAATTTTCAAAAGCATGTGCTGAAGACACAAACACACATTGCCCTGAGCACAAATGTATTCACCACCGTATTTTTTTCCCCTCCTGCAGCCAGAAATAGGACTGAGGAGCCCTGGCCCAAACCCTGGAGCTGCTCTAGGAAGCGGTGGTGCAGCCTCCTGCTGCCGAGGTGCGTGACCTCTTCCCTCACTGCCTCTCCACCAGGAGGATGGTTGTTACCTTATTTAGCTCAAATATTTTTCATAGTAAACCGGTGAACAAGAGGAATGAGGCTGAGCACCTCCCAAGACCCAGACAGACCGGTGTCCTGTGCTGGTCCTTCGCACCAGGCTGGGCACCGCCGGGAGCACCCAAACAAACACGCCTCTGACAGTCATGAACTCATTGCTCGCAGCTAATCACTAAACTAGATTTTCTATTTAACCACCAAATGCCAGGAACAAATACATTAGGGAACAACTGATTTCTGCCTATTTATGCTCTGGATGTGGCACGCATTTTATTTGGGCAGGTGCACAGTAAGCTTCACTCTGAGGACAGAAATTCGACAGCACTACGTGTTTTGCTTTGGGCAAGTGTATTTCTTTTACTCACTGCAATGCATTTGTTAGCATTGTTTGGGGTTTTTTTGTTCCCCTTTATTTATGTAGAGCATGCTTGTTTATTTTTTTAGATATTCAGTTACACAAATACAACTGTAATTTCAGTTCACCCTTAAAAATGATTCCCTCCTACCCGTTTCTGACATCAAGAAATAACCATCTCAAGACCGATAAATTAGGTCTGAGACCATTTAGATGTCTTCCATCCAAATACAAGTTAACTGAGCAAAAAAGGAAAGAAAATACTGTGCTAAATTTTTCTAGTGAACGAAATCAGTACACCTTACAGCTGGAAAAACTGAGAATCTGCTAGCATTTCTAAAAGTGGCATATCTATAAATGTGAAGGCAAAAGGAGGCCTGTACATCAACACAATCTAAAATCCTACAGAAAGGAAGCCATAGATGTCACCTAACCATCAGTTTTTGTAGGAGTTCATACACAGCATCAACTCCCAATCAGAAATTCACTGCAAGTCTCAATTTTGGGGCAGGTGGCTTTCAGGGGGTGGTTTGAACTGGAGCATCTCAGCTCCTGTAAATGCAGTGGGGGATTGGTGATTATTTCTAGAGATCTTATATACTTTGACTGCTCAGGTCCGAAAAGAAAGACACAAAAAAATGTAGCATTTTGAAATCATAGGATCACTTGGGTTGGAAAAGTCCCTTCAGATCATCAAGCCCAACCATCACTTAATGCCAAGTCCACCACTTAAACCCTGTCCCTAAGCGCCTCATCCACACGTCTCTTACATACCTCCAGGAATGGCGACTCCACCATTTCCCTGGGCAGCCCATTCCAATTCCTAAACACTCTTTCCATGAAGAAATCTTTCCTGATATCAAATCTAAACCTCCCCTAACACAACTTGAGGCCGTATCCTCATGTCCTAGGATGCTTCCTCGCATCCTAAATATCTCTCTCAATTATGGCAATCTTTTTCATGCTTGGGCTAGCAGTGTTCAATAGTGCCTGTGAAATTCCAACCTTGACTTATATATCCAAGGACTAAGGTAAATTTTAGGACTACCACAAGTAGTCAAACTTCTGGTAGTCCCAAGGCAGGAGGGGATCCCAGGATGTTTGTGGTCCACCAAGGTCTGCGTTACCTCCAGGCAGGAGGTTGCACAGCCTTTCTGGGCAGCCTCTTAGTACAGGCTGAAGCTGTTAAGCAAAACTTTAAGAAAAAAAAAGAGCCTGAAAACATGAAGAAGATCACTGATGCGATTTGGAAAAGGAAAATCTTCACAGCAAAAACGAAGTGAGTCAGGTCAGCTGTATGCAAATAAAAACGTTACCCAGAGACATTAACTACAGAGATTGTTTATAACCTCTTTAATTAGGGGTTGTTTTGTTCTTAGTTTGCCATGTACAGAGTCTGCGTGGTGAAAATAAGAGTCCATCTTGATGACTTGACTCGATTTTATTTTGAGAAGGAATAGGACGAATTCATTTTTGGCTGGGTTGGACCCACACGTCTGCCCCCCTCCGTTTCCCCGCTGCTACATGTGCAAGGATGTCCCCCTGGCAATGTGGAGAGGAGCAGACACATCCTGGACAGCTGCAGTGAGAGCAGATGTTTGGGAGCAAAAGGAGATGCAACGACCAAGTACCGAAGCATGGGACACGGAGAAGCATTTCACAACGCGTCCCACATCATAACCTCCCATTTTTTCATGTAAATATTAGAAAGGCCAACACGGGGAGAAATCCTCATACTTTCTGGTTGAGTCACAGCCATGTGAAATGTATCATAAAATCAGGATCCATAATGAATGTTTACAGTGTGCCAGATGCAGAGATGATAATCTCGTATCAGCCGGGACAAACCAGACTTATCTTTGCCTTCCTCGCTTTGAAAACCTTCAGTTCCCTACCCCCTCCCCTCGAGTTCAGGTTTAACTTCATACTTTCTGCATTTCTGCTGGTGGTTGCCTCAACTCCTTTTTTAACAGAAACCAAAAGGGGCTGCTTTTGTGGTTGTAGGACCGGGGGTACGCTTCAGCGTTTGGCTAGCTTCTCGCCTGCTGCAAACAGGCGTAGGGCTACAGATTTCAAAAGAATGAGCTTACCCCAGATAACGATCACACCTATGCTCTGAACCACTATTTTGTAAACTCTGGTGGTAGGTGGTTTATGAGCAGATCAGCCCACCGGGCTGAGGGCAGCAACCTCGCAAACCACGACTGGAAACCGTGCTGGCTCTGCTCATGAATCAGAGCCCGTATGGGGAGCAGGGTTAAATTTAAAGCACAACTTCCACAAGTATCTCACGAGTCGGTGGCTGCAGGAATAACCTACTTCAGACTGCCTACATCCAGCTAATTTGGCTAGCAGCTGAAGTGGATACTGATATTGTATGGAATTTATGTAAATGAATATATCTGAGGTGGGATATTAATCCCCACTCCACAAAAAAGGAAGCAGCAGCATCTGCGTGCTGCCTTTAAAAAGGCATCAAACCGAAGATAAAGCACTCTTGTGATTTGTGTACATCACTTAACCACGTCAAGCTTAGAAAGCTAATGGCAGAACATAAATAATATAAAGAGCGCATGAAAAAAATGCGTGGCACTTACATTTCTTTTGCGGTGAAAAACAACTTGGGAACCAGATACAGAGCGTTTATAACATTTTGCAAGTGCTCAGAGCAGCAAAACCCCGTGCAGCTACACTGCTGCAGCTCCTGCGGAGGTGTGGGAGGCAGCAGGTAGGCACGGGCAGGAGAAAAAGGGGCTGCTGGGCTGGGCTGGGCTGGGCTGTGCTGGGCTTCCCCAGGAGCACAGCACCCATCCCGCTGGGTTGTTGCACGTGGCCGACACACGGGAGGGTTCCCCCCACCCAGCTTCAGCCTTGCACACCTGAGCCACCCGCTCCGTGCTCCTTTTCTGGTCCCCAGAGAGAAAAGGACACGTTCAGTGCACGGTTCACCTGTCCTGCTTTATTCGTGAAGATGAAACGAGTCTTGACCTAGAAGTGCCGATTTCCTCCACCCACTGCAAAAAAACACTAAGGCGACCAACGGGGCTGAATTAATCAGCTCAATCCTCTTTTTGCTATCTGAGTAAAGGATGGGGAGCAGAAGAATTTGTGAGCTTAACACCCTACGGTGCAATCGTCTTCGTAGTGAAGGGCTTGAGTTAAGGCTAAGAAATGGTTTTACCTGTGTGCTATGTGAGGGATTCATACATGAAATAGTCGAAAAGGGCACTCGGCTCCTAACTGACAGGTGGATGCAGCAGAAATGCCTCCTCAGCAGTTCGCAGACACCCTTGCTAAAAGCCTCCCCAGAGATGAAAGGATTTCAGGCTCCTGATTTACAGGCTCGCTCCAGAAGTGGGTCAAGGCTGGGCCATGTGCCTGGGTCATTTGACTGGGTGACAGGGACGGCACCCAGATGTACTCGGGATTGCGCTCAAGTGGCTGAGCTCTCCCTCCCGCTGCTTTATTTTTCTAACAAAAAGAAGTCCGATTTTAACAAAGCCTGCTCTATAAAACTATCTACGTTAATAACAGTGAGGGATTTCACCCATGCAAACTCTGTTCTTGTTGTCTGAGCAACAAAACAGATCCGTGAGGCACGTTTCTGGTTCAGCCAGGCAGGAACCAAGGGGCAGAACACAAACCTTTACAGGCACCCGCACAACAAAGTTCAGCTCGCTGCCTGACAAACAGTGAAAAAATCAGCACAATCCTCATCAGCCAGGAGGTAATTTTCCAAGGCAAGTGGGCATCACTCTCTCTATCACTGGGCTTCTTACGAGAGGCCATAAATCCCTTCTTCCCCCATGCCATAATCCGGCGGTTGTCAGACTCACGGTGCATGGCTGCCTAAAAACACCACAAATGACAAGAATCTCTTATGCTTGGGGAGAGCAAGAAATGGCCCTACGGTGACCTGTAACATTCCTGGGCCCCTATAAAGAGGGTGAGAAGATGGCTGCGTGTGCACCGCTGGCTCGGGCAGCTGAACGTGTGCCCGAGAGATGGCCAGGTCCCGCGGGGAGCCCTTTTACCATCACCGCAGAGCAGGTGACAAAACTACGTGCTTGTGTTTATGCTGGCAGGGTACTTCTACTTACAAGGGCTTTCCTAAAAAGAAAGCCATTCTGGATGGAGAAAATGATGGCAAGGAGGAAAGAGCTACCAAGAGAGGGGAAGAAAACGCTGCTCATCTTGGACCAGCAGCTGCTGGAGGGCACGGGGCAGATGGAGAACAAAGGTGGAAAGAAAAACCTAATGGAAGAACCTGCGGGTAACCCAGTTTACAGGTGACAGAGGGAGCAGACTGCCCCCACTACACGTGGATACTTCGAGCAGCGTTAAGTAAAGAGACAGCGATGTGCTACATGCAGTTCTTGGGTGCTGGCTTCTACATGGCATGCTGAGTCCCTCTCCTTCCTGCTGCCATCATGTGGGACTAAAAAAAAGCAAGACCAAGAAATGTAAGAGCTAGAACACATTGTTTTGTGCCTAATTTTCCATTTCTCTCATGGACAGACAGAGGAGGGATGGCTAATTCTAGTTCTGGATTGAAGCAGCAGCACCAGGCACATCACATAAAGCTATCACAAGCCAGCACTGCCCGCCGAGGTCATTCCATCCCATGGATGAATTCATTAAAACAGAGGTTTGTCATTTTAATTCATTAAAACAGAGGTTTTTTCAGCCCTCGTCAGAGATGCTACAGAGATGCTACAGGGTACGTCTGCAGGATGACAGGAATCATCCGATGTCCAACACATCACAGAAGTGATCCTGGAGAGCCGAGACTTCTGGCACTGCATGCATGGTGTGATTTTGACCACAGCCCCCCAAATCCTCAGGCAGGATGAAAGCAGAGAGGACAGAAACTCACAGGAAGGAGCAATCAGCCTTAAGGAGCTTTATGTCAAAAACCTATATATAAGGGCATGAGTGCAAGGTGTCATCAAGCATAATGGCAAAGACATCTTCATAGGGTAAGACAAAGAAGAGGATGAAGACTATGTCTGACTGCCTCCACTCTTCCAATTCAATTTGCTTAAATTTTATCCATTTAGTACACCATCAGGAAAACAAGTTTCCTTTTCCTGACAGCAAACTGCGGCCCTATGTGTGAGCAGGATCACAAAGAAACATAGTTTTATGGTAGGGGAATACCACATTTTGTCTCAAATAACAAATATTATCGTACAAAATGGTTAACTTTTTGTACACGTCGTGTGAGTAAATACAAAGAACTGCCGAGCCTCACAAAAATTATAAGTAGTCACTTGAAATTTTCAAGGAGGCAGCAAAAAATCCTAAGAGTGATTGCTTATGTTAACAAATATTGTCTTGTGTAAAATATGCGGCACTGGCTGGAATCTAACCCCTCTGCGAAGGGAGAAGTGAAACACCAGAAACTTATAAATACAGTTAAATGACCGCAGCTGTTACTGCTGACACAGATATCCTGGCATAAAAGACATGCTGAATAGTTTGTTTTGATAAATCTGTAGAAATAAGCTCTATCAGTAAAATCACTCTTACTCACGTTACTTCAGCCCACTTCAGAGTTGCATCAATTTACTGGTAGCGGTTACCAAACCAAACAGCCCGTACAAAACTGCGCTGTGGGCCGACCCAGCATCGTCCAGCAACCCCAGTACGCCCAGTAAAGGGGAGAATCTGGCTGAGGATTTTCCAAAAGCAGTCACTAAGACACTGGACTTCAATGTCATGTTTCAGCAGGGTGTCTCGAATGCCTTACAAGCGTTTAATAGGAGAACCCCACAGTGTGCGTGAGGCATGCAAGCAGTGCAGGCTGCTCTGCACAGAAAGAAGAGGAAGTGTTCCCCCAAAAAGTAGTCTAAAGGGGCACCCAAAATACATGAAGTGAGTCCTAGACAATTTCTATCTCTCGGTCTTGTGATGTGATCAAGCATGTGATCCTTCAGCTTTGCTTTGACAGCCAAGTGGGAGATAAAATAGGAATTCGGACGACCACAGAACAACGCAGCAAATCTCAGTTGAATAAATTTCATTTGGCAAAGGTCGAAATAATAAAAAGAGAAAGGTTCGGTGGCCGCTCACCATGCTGGATTTGGGGGCGTTTGTGTCAGAATGAGCAACAGCATGACATACGTATTTCACCTTGCCATGCTGTGCCACCAGGATCAAGAGCTGATCTCTTGCCACCACAGCAGCAGCACAATCTCTCCTGCCACAACAAAGACCTGCAGGATTGTCAAAAAGTGTGGTGCCTTGGCACTGTGCGGGAGTCAAAACAGAGGTATTCAGAGAGACTCGGGGGCCTTAGTAGGGAAAAAAATGTTCAAATTGACGCTGAGATCCAGCTTCGAGCCCAACGTTGAACAAAAAGGTAGGATGCTTCCACCCCAGTGAGGCATAGAGAGATGCTGTGCCGGGATGCTCATGGGAGCACCAGGACCGTGGGAGGGGATCGGGGCGCTGGGCTGGGCTGGCTGCAGGCTGCTGGGCAGGAAGGTTTCCAAACGTCCCCCCGCCGCCTCTGCCTGCACGCCGAGGAATTCCAAGAGGGCTGCCAAGATCCGTAAAAAGTAACATCCCCGCTCCCCTGTCAGCGCTGGCGAAAACAAGGTCTGCGTTCCTTCGGCAGGAGCAGGAACAGGAAGCTCGAGTGCTGCCATCAGTACTTGTCCTCAACGCCGGATCCCAAAGCAGACCTCAGAGGAAAGCCGTGCTCGTCTTCACAGCGCTCGAGCATCCCTCCTCCTCTCAGGTGGTGTCTGGCACCGGGGCAGCAAGGTCCACGGCACTCGGTCCTCAGCAAAAATCAAAGAGGTGGAAGAAGGAAAATCAAAGCCACGCGTGTAGCTGTCTCAGATCAGATTGCAGGATCAGAGAGGGTGAGCATCTTCTCCATCATGTCATCCAGCCAGGCAGCAAGCAGAAGCCACTCCACCACTTTGTGCAGGTGCATCGTGCTCCCTCTCCACAAACCTACCGGGTACGAACATGCGGCACGAGCCTTGGCTGTCCGGGCAAACATTTCACAGCGATCTCTGCCCTGGGCAGGTTGGATGCCGCGTGCCTTGGTGGGACACGGCACACACGGACGCATCCCAGGGAAATTCACAGCATTGCCTCCCAGCCCAAATTGATGCTCTGGAGGAGGAGAGGGACTGGGACCCCTCCTGGCTCCTACAGCTCCCATCCAGCCAAGCCCCAGGCACCGCTGGGCAGCAGGGCTGGACACGAGCTCAGCCTCTCTGCCACGCATCCTAAATTCATGCCATCAGGTGGAAGGATTTAAGGAAGGACACCGTCACCTGGCCACTCATTCTAATCCTGCCAGCATATTCGGCACCCAGCGGCACCGCACTCCCCTAAAGGCAGACAGTGCCTGGATTTCAGCGGCACAGCGAAGCACAATTGGTGCGGGAAGGCACCCAGCCCTACTTGGGGTGGAAAAGCACGACAGCACTCGCTATAAACCAAGGGGAAAAAGGGGTTCCTGTTGGACACAGCGGGATGAAGGTGGTTGTTGCAGCTCGCTCGGGCGAGCAGCCGGCTGCGTGCAGGAGCCAGCGCTGTGCTCTGGGTCGTGCTGGATGCCCCCACGCCACCCAGCAGGCAGATCGTACACCCAGCTTCGGATTTGGGACAGCTCTCCTTTTCGCTCGGGCGCCTCTCAGGGAAGCCGCTCGTCCTTTTCTCTCCCCCAAAACACGTGTGGGAGCACCCAGCACCCCCCAGCCCCAGCCAAACCCTTCCCCATCGCCCCCCCGGCCGCTCCATCACCACCTCCGGAGCTCCCCTTTAAGACCACCCCACAAACCCCATCCAAGCCACGCATCCCCACGGCGACCCCCGCACCCCGCACAGCCCCTTCCCCTGCCCCAAACCCCCCCGGCTCACCCCGGGCTGCTCCCCGCTGCCCCCACAACCCCTTCCCGGGGCGGGCAGCTCCCCCCTTACACCCTGGAGCGCTGCCCACCCGGAGGATCCCCAATGACCTCCAGGACCCCCCCGCGGACACCCCATATCCCCATATCATCCCATATCCCCCGACGCCCCCTCCCCTCTATTTCCCGCAGAGGGTCCCCGGTGGGCACCGGCAGCGCCTCCGGCCTCACCTTCTTGCTGTCGGCGGCGGCGAAGCCCCTGCCCTCGCCGCTCACCGAGGCCGAGCGGGCCGGCCCCAGGTGCTCCTGCTGGGGGGACATCGCGGCCATGCGCCCCCCGCCGCCGCCGCCGCCGCCCCCGCCCCGCCGCCCGCACCATGGGCACGGCGCGCCACCGCGGGACGCGCCCCCTCGACAGGCCACGCCCCCTCCTGCTGGCCACGCCCCCTTCGCCAAGCCACGCCCACCTCCGAGCAAGCCGCCCCCCCCCTCTCCGTGCTGGGGGGTGGGGGGGGTGAGGCGCATGCGCCCCGCTGGGGAGGGGGGGATAAAAGGGGGGGGGGGGGGGGGGGATGGAGAGGGGAGTGGTCGTGCGCATGCGCGGTGTGGGGCTGAGGGGAATGAGGGGGGGTTTGGGGAGGGGGCTGTGGGGTCCTGGGTTCAGCCCCCCCCTGGTCCCAGGGCTCCTGCATAAGGCAGGGACATGGCCTGGGGGGGTCCCTGCTGGAGGGGAAGGGGGCAGGGGGTGCTGGGGTGCTGCCCCTGGGGGGCTGAGGGGGTGCTGGGGGTATTTAGGGGGTGCTGAGGGGACCTGGAGTGGGTGCTGAGGGGGCTTTAGGGGGTTCTGAGGTGTCCAGGGGGCTGCTGGGGGGTTCTGAAGGGTGCTAGGGGATGCTGAGGGGTGCTAGGAGGTGTTATGGGGTGCTGGGTGGGTGCTGAGGGGTTTTAGGGGGTACTGAGGTGTGCTGAGGGGTCCTGGGGAGTGCTGAGGGGTGCTAGGGTTGTTGAGGAGGTGTTAGGTGGGACTGAGGGGTGATAGGAGGTGTTGAGGGGTGCTGGGGGTGCTGAGAGCTCCTGGGGAGTGCTGAGGAGTGCTAGGGGTGTTGAGATGCTAGGGGTACTGAGGGGATGTCCAGGGGGTGCAGGGTGGGTGCTGAAGGGTTTTAGGGGGTGCTGGGGGTGCTTAGAGGGTGGTGGGAGGTGTTATGGGGTGCTGAGGGGATGTCTAGGTAGTGCTGAGGGGTGTTAGGGGGTGCTGAGGCGGTGCTGTGGGGTGCTGTCATGCTCCAGAAGGCCACCAGCAACACTTTGGAAGCCAGTGGGTGGCACTGACCCAAGGTCACCATGTGGGAACGGGCTCTGAATAAATCCCGGCTGGAAACTGGGAGGAGGCGTGCTGGTGGTAGGCAGGGGTGGCGAGGCTGTGGAGGAGCTCGTTCGCATCCTGCCTTTGTCCACGTTGGGAGGAGGGCTTTTATCTCCTGCCTTTGCGGTGGGTACAGGCTCTGTGAGCATTTCCTTGTCCTGAGCACCGAAAAAAGGCAGAAGAAGAGAGGCGCTGCCATCACACGTGCAGCTGTTCCCATCTCCCATCTTCCTTCTGTACCAGGACTTGGTCCGGCTCTGTAATGCCACTTCTCTGGATCAGCTCCCACTAGGTTCTCCTTGATGCACAAATGCACGAGGCAGTGGCCACTTGCCATGCACACCTGAAACAGCAGGGAATGGTGATGTTTGGTGTCACCTCGCGGGGCCACCTTGGCAGGTTGTGAAGGCCCAGCAGCTCCACGGGACAGTGCTTCAGTGCTCCCGTCACCGAGATCGATGTGGGCACCTGCCCGCTGCTTGCACCCTGCTCTCTGCAAGGCAGGGGAACCGTGTAATGGAAAGCGAAGGGCAGATGAAATATTAACGCCTGGGATGCAGCCTGAGCGCTGCTGCCTCCTCTGCGGAAGCACTGGGCTTTCCCACATCCACCTCTTCGCTGTTCCTCATCACCTTTTGCAAAAAAACAAAAACGAGCTGTAGACATTTACAAGCACTTGGCTGCCCAGTGATAGCTCTTGGGTGACACCGTGGTGGTGTGTCAGGGCTCAGAAACCCCCTGGGCTGCCCTGAATGTCCCCAAGGAGAAGTGGACACCAGGACAGAGGTGTGTGCACCGTGTGTGTAGTTGTGCCATTTCCCACTCTCTGAATTCACACAATCTTTCCTTCGACGTGACAAAACCTTGCCGGCACCCAGCCTGACACATCCGATGCCGGGGCAGGGGAGGGAGGAAGCTGTGCTCCGTGTCTATGCCAAGCCCCGGATGCATTTAGCGATTTGGCACCCTGCTCCCCAGAAACATTTGCAAGTGATGACATTCTTGGTGAGGGGTTGGAAGTTAGGCTGCGAGTATATATTTATTTTGCAAAGGAAATGTTACATAAGCTGTCCTGAACGCTCGCACGTGCCTTTGAGGTGTTCTTTTATTTAGTCCCGTATGTGTGGTTCCTTCGATGTTTGTTGAACACTGACTATTTCCTCTGCTCACCGAGATAAACAGATTAAAACCCTGCCATTTGGTTAAGCGAGATCAGAGAAGAAGCTTCTCTGTGCGTCGTGAATGCAGACGTACAGCTGTAACGTGCTAACTTTCACACACCTTCAGCTAATTTGCTGTGCCAGAAAACTGCCCGGGAAGCTTAACCCATCTCTGTGTGCAGAGGGTGGGAAAAGCCCTGGCTCCCCCTCGCTGCTTGTCGGGGCTGTGGATGATGTTGCAGGAATGCAGCAACACCCGTGGGTGCGGAGCCCAAACTCCTGGTCCCTGCTCACCTGCAGCAGCGCCTGGATGTGTAATTTCACGAAACCACCCTTAAACTGCACCGACTGCCTTCAGCACCAGCCAAAAGCCTGCGGGAGCCCTGCCCCGAGATGTGCAAGGCTCAGAAAATAACATGCCTGCTCGTAGAGAGGTTTTCTTTCTGTTGCCTTGGCCACAGTATTAGAAGAAAAACACTGGGGGGATAAAGGGGGGATTGGGATGGAGAAATATATGGGTGTAGTAGGGAAGTCGCGCTTGTGCATGAGACATGGGAGAATTACTCGAGGGCAAGCCCGTCCAGATGGGAACGCAAGCCCTGTAAATCTGCCACGCCAGGGAAAACCGCAGCGAGCTGTTAGCAAACGCTGGGTGCGGGGACTGCTGCTGCCTCCAGGTTTTATGAGCTTTCCACGCACGTTAGCACCAGCAGAGGTTCCCTTCCAAGAAAAATCACAGCATCCGAGGAGCCTCGGTAGGCGAGGATCGAGCGAGCTGTACTTAACTTGCACTGGCTAAATGCAATTCCCCCTAAATCTGCCCCAGAAGGATACATTTTCCTGAATACTAATTTTATGAAACCCACAAGCGCCTCGTGCAATTAAAGCCACGCAGCGGAGCAGAACTGGAAACTCCAGAGGCAATTACATGTACGGTGAGATCCGATGCAACAGCTTTCTGTTCTGATAACCTAATGCCTCCAACCCAAAGCTGCTCGTGTATTATGAGCCGCTAAAAATAGGGCTGCATCCCGGACAGGCAGGAGCCACGCTGAGGGAGAAAACCTGAGCTGAAAGAGAAAGCTGGAGGAGAAGAGGATGGCTGGCTTAGCAGCTTCACATCATCCTCAGCTCGGAGCAGTCCAGCTGGTTCCTGGTGTAAACTAGAACATCCCTTGGGAACACTGGCCAGAAGGCATTGCCTTCTTTTTCAGGAATTCAGTACAGCAGCTTTGGGGGCAGCTGGGAAGCCTTCGCTGCTCATCTTCACGGGACTTGCTGCTGCCCCGTGCCAAAGAGGCTGCGGTAAGCAAAGAGCATCCTCCACGCTCCACGGTCCCTGAGGGTCTGGACAGAAGAAAGCCCAGGAACCAAGCCCCGTCCTTCCCTTTTGATAGCAGCTTGCTAATAAAATCATTAAATACTACGTGAGTAATTGCTGAGTGCTATTCACAAATGTCCTGGGATTCAAGCCATGGTGGTTATTAACACTTTGTGCACGTAGGTTGACGGTGACAGAAAACTCCCCGTTCTGTCCCTTCCTGAGGTTGCAGACACTTTCCAGTTTCGGGCTTTGATTTCAGGGCCAGTGGCCAGCTCGAGCCGTCCTCCCATGGCCACAGCTGCTGCCCAGACATGAGGAAGGGCTGTGACAGCCTGGCCTCGTGCAGGAACCAACCACCCATCCTGCTGCCTTTTAATACCCACTTCAGCCTTATTACATATGCCGTGTGAAACTCGGCCCAGCGCATCAAAGAGAAGTCTGCCTTTGAAGGGCTGCATGCTTCCTGCATGCAAATGCAGCTCTGATTTAATTAAGCTTGATTTTATAATCGGCGTAGCTGAACTGGTGCAATCCTTGTGAGCAAATACGGCTGGCATGAGCTCCTCGGTGTGCGTACGGCCTCACAGCAACACCACCCATCGGTGAGTGACATTGCATTTCCCTCCCATTCATCCTGTCCCTATTTTTCCCGTATCTTCCTTCTGTTTTTTATGCTTTATTTCCTTTGTTTGCATTAATAGTCTCATGAGGTGGTTTATATTTTGTTTCTCCGCACTGAAAGTTTCCTTGCGGTCATTTTCCAGAGCTCAGCCTTTCAACTGCAAATTGTGAGGCAAAATTAAAAGTTGCTAACTGGAGAGGCCTCGCTCAGGAGCAAAGTATTAGATATGAAAGGATGGCATTTCATTTAAGATAAGGCCTAATCTCTTCCCTTTGTGGGCAACATTTCTGAACTAAGTCTGAGCACTTGCACTTGGAGCCGTGTAGCTTCTGCTCTCAGCTAGGTGGGCAGAGATGGAAATACCCAGAGCTGAACCTGCAAGGTGATCCTGAGCACAACACGCAGGTGCCATTAGAAGAAGGGAGGTTGACACATCTCTTCAGAACGGGCTTGAGTTTTCATAAACCTCACTGTGCACCCACCACACTACGTGATTCCTTGAGAAGCACTGGCGGTGAGGCTCAGCAACGGGGCTGGTTTCTGTTCATCGACGTATTCTTGAGAGCAGACAACCTATCACCTGAAATCTGACGAGAGTGTGTTAGCAGATGCTTGTCCCAAAGTTCCCGTTGAGAAGCACGACTGTCTGCGCACAGCTCATAAATAACCCGTACTTTGTTGCTGCTGCTACAGCTAGGTGTTACTGACGGACTCCCCGGAGCTCCACAAAGCACTGGCCACGCAGACAGCCAGATTCCCATCTCGGTGGGTTGAGGCACGGAGTCATAAATCGTGTAACATAAGTAAGGTTGGCATATATGTGCCCAGTGAGGGTTACACATCCATACCAGGAACATTTACGGTAACTAGAATGGGGAATT